CTAATAATGACAGTAGATAGTGTGGGTGGGCAGGTGAAGGAAAAGCTTCAACAACAAAGTAATCTTGTATTGCAAGTTCTGAAGCTCATGCGAAGTATGTACATGCAGAATTTAGCCTATATGGTTGAGAAATGCAAGTGTGAATAAGTAATGCTGGAGAAGTTGGTAGAGTTTGCCTGGGCTATAAATGCAGGGAAAAAAAGCCCTGCAGCCTGAGTCTTGCCAGGCTGGTGCTTCCTGGGCTGACTTGCCAAACCATGGGCTCTTTTCAGCTCCATTGCTATTGGCTTGTGCTGGCTGCAGGGGAGTAGCAGAGCTGTCTCTGCCCCTCATCAAATTACAGCATTCTGTCATATTTTAAACACATGAATACGGATACTAAAAACTTGATCCGTAATGCATCAGAAACAATAGAGGCATTTCTAATAACTTTGAATGTGATTCTAAATTAACAACAAAGATCTAATCTGTGTTTTCTCCTCTACATTCAGACTTTGAAGTTTAAAGGTTTCTAAATAGTAAGAAGAAGGGCGGTCCAGGAAGCAATCCAGACATTCTGGGGGTAATAAAATCATAGCAGAAATAACTGGAGTCACTGAATAATACAGGCTCTTCAGCAAGGAGGGAAATAGAGCCAGTAGCATTACATGAAACATTAAGATAATTTGTAATGAAATGAGTTATGTCAATAGACCATATTCTGTTTGGATCAAGCACTTCAAGCATGAAAAAAGTATTTTTGCAGAATTAATGCTAGCAGAAAATCCCCACGGTGTCAGATTTGACTCTGCGACATTATTGTAGAGAGTAATGTAAGTACGAATCTGTCATTAGAGGCTGTTGAAGCTCACAAATTTCTTCACCAGTCACTAAATCAACATAAGATAATGATAGTTTAGATCTAGTTTTTGCTTTGAAATATGTATATTAGAAAACGTAACCTTTAACCAAGCATTCAGGCATTGAGTCCATTCACATTGCAAGACAAAATAAGTAATGATGACCAAACTTTAATAAGCAAAACAAGCTAGTCAAAGAAGTGAAATATTCTGGGGCTTCATGGACATTTCTGTGAAGGAAACATCAAATTTCATCAGCTGTAACATACTGTGTTTTATCTGACAATAGGGAACTAGGTTCAGCCATCCAGGAAGTCCCCTCCAGACCTATGTTCCTAAATTTGTCAGTTAAATGCAAGAGCCTTAAGTAAACCAGAGGTAATTGTAAGACAGTTTGACAAACTTTGTCACTGTCAGTATTCTCTAATATTCTTTGACTCAATGCTGAATTTGGACATTGGCTACTGGACAGCAGAATCTGTTCTTGTGACGGTATAAATGTTTGAGATGTAGGACAGGGTATTTATTGTCTACTCTACTGAGTATCTCTCAAACCTGACACTTCATCTAGAGAGTAGTATTCAGATGCCTTCTCCATAGATCATCCCTCCTGGTCTCCCTCATCCCTGAACAGTATCAAGTAAGATAAAGCTGGTAGGGCATGTGTAGGGTTTGTACAGGCTAGTGAGGAAGACGAAATTTGGGAGAGCACCCAATAGTGAGGACGTTGAAGTACGAAGATGTTCAGCCTGAAGAGGAGGCTCAGGGGGATTTTACCAATGTATGTAAATACCTGAAGAGAAGGTGCAAAGAAGATAGAGCCAGCCTCTTGCCAGTGGTGCGCAATGATAGGTCCAGAGTCAATGGGCACAAACAGAAACACAGGAGGTGCCACCTGAACATCAGGAAACACTTTCTTACTGTGAGGGTGGCCAAGCACTGGCACAGGTTGCCCAGAGAAGTTGTGAAGTCTCCCTCCTTCAAGATATTCAAAAACCACCTGGACATCATCCTGGGCAACTGGTTCCAAGTGATCCTGCTTGAGCAGAGGGGTTGGATGACATGACCTCCAGAGGTCCCTTCAAACCTCAGTCCTTCTGTGATTCTGTAAGCAAACTCCAGTCATTTTAGTAGGTTTAATTCCAAAAGCGAAGCAAAGTTTGATGCTTAATATAAATGTTCTGCCTAACTTCAAAGATACCCACTCACTGTGAAACTGTGATTTCTGGAGGCAGACTGTGGCTTGCTCAGAAAATCAGGCAGGAATTATAAAGGGGATCGCTATTATGCTTGTCCATATGCACCCATTATTATTAGCAGCAGCAGGAGAGAACAGGCAGAAAAGATGCTGCAGGAACCTTTCAGACATTTTTCTAAAGTAGAGAGGTTTTGAACTTTGCATTAGCATGGCACTGGCTCTGTAATGCTCTTAACTTATCTCTTTCTTCCTACCAAGTGCTGAGTACTCGTCTCTGTGTCAGCAATGAAGAACTTTGAGCCTGGAAAATGAGTTAGATTTAGAGAAACTCCTACAGTCCAGAGATTTATTTGAAGGATTTCTGAAATTAACCTTTTTTATTCCTCCTTCATGTCTCATGATCTGAAACTGTTTCTTCCCAGTTTAACATCACTGTAGATATTTTTTGAGTTGAACTTAGTATCGTGCCTTTCTCCCTATCCCTCTTAACCTTCAGCCGTATGTTCTCCATACGACAGTACAGCATTATGGGTTCCAAACGGTTCAACTGTGAGTGAGTTACAGCTTCAGAGTGTGCCTAGACATGCTGCTATACCTCAGAAACCACAAAGACCTTTAAAATGTTCATTTAGGAAATGCTGAAGAATTTTCTGCTGTCTTGTGAGGGATAATGAAAGATTGTTATCTGAAGAAGGAGTTCTAACTCAAGACCTTCTAATGCTCAGTTTTGCCTATTTAGTTACTGGTGAAAGGGGCGACTTGGCCTATATATTTCCTGGCTGCACTCCCTGTGCACAAGCTAATTTCTTTTCTCTGGAGACCTGTTTAATGTCAACTAGTTTATCTGTTTTTCTGATTTATGAAAAACATATTGTTTAAATTTTAGATCATAGCTAATCCTGTACAAATGCATAAAGTGAAGGGGTGAAAACAATGATTTACTTACCCAACACAATACATGCATCATTCTTTTTGCACCCTGCTTGAGTGTTGCAAGAGAGGATGAACAAACAGATTGGTCTCCTCCCACCACATATCTGCATTGCCAGCACTCAGGGAAATAAAGACTGCATGGATTAAAAAGTTGCAAGGGTACTATTAAGGCATAAGCTACTGAGACAGGAGCATGCATTGAAGAGGTCTCAGTTCGACAGTGTCAGTCCTATTACGAGCAATGTCAGCCTCACTGCTAATGCGGAAGCCAGGGATGAGAATGCAGGTAAGATCTTTCTATACCAGGGCATGAGCAAATCACAATGATATTATGATGGCAGTATTTGCAGCTCCTAAGGTTTCTGTGAATAATATTGACAAACATTTAAACAAACTCTCTTAGTGTTTTTTTTTTCTAGACACCCTCTGAAGAAATCTTTCTCTGAATCACAATTTGTGTATATGCAATTAATTACTGTCAGGCTGTTAGACAGGCTGATCGTGTCGGAACTGACCGTTTCATTTTCACATAGAAACAGTCTCTGCCTTTCATTGTCACATAGAAACAGTCCTTGCACTGATATCTTGATGATGCTCTTTTTTCCTCAATTTGCTTGATTAGATCTTTCGATTTAAGTACTTGAAAGACATAATTTCATAAACACACTTGAAGCAATTCCACACAAACCACCTCATCCTCCCTAAATCATTCTCATTTTATTGCTGAATTTTCAAATACCATTAAAAACATTATGTCATTATAGTTCAATTATTGAACTGTGTACCTTGTAGACCCCTCACAATATTGTCTGTATAAATGATTTCGTGTTCCTGATTAATGGAAGGATAATAAGAATAAGACGATCTTCACTTTGAAAAATACTTTAACTTGTGGAGTTCTCTATCCAAATATTCTTTTCCTTTTTTATCAAGATGGAAACTGTTTTATTAAAGTGGAAACAGACTAAAGGTCATCAAACTATTCTGAGTATCATTTGTACTGATTACTCATTTTTATTTTAATATACACCTTAACAGTACCAGAAAAAAAATATTTATGGCTATAAATATATAAATCCATTCTAACAACAAGAAGGAATTTGAACTTATTTCTAAGTTTTTAGTAACAGAAGCTGATTGGTGCATGAGCAATATAGAGACCCATAAATAGCCTGTTGACTCAAAGTATTCTGCTTTCATATATGCTCTGACTGCTAGTTCTGTGCTATACATGAGACAAGATTTGGAGGTAAAGGTAGTATCTTTATTTTTATTTGACCAACTGGTTTAGATAAAAATATTAAACTGATTTTCAGACACTTGCCTCGATTTTTCTGATAAAAAGCTGTTGTAGCTACCTACAAAATGTGTCCTGTCATTGTCCCTGATCCATCATGGCTGCAGCAAAATGCCACTAAACATCTCTACGATATGCAAGATACAGTTCAGTTCATGCCTAGAATAGGAAATGACTGTAGTAACCCCAGATATCTGATGGCAAGTAATGACATTTCATAGGAAACTGTCAATATCATGATCAATGCAAAAAGTATTTCCTTATGCACATGCATGCACAGACTTGGATCCCTATTCACTGATTCTTAAGTCCACGAGTGCTTACTGTTTCCTGTTTTTTTCCTTTTACTCTTCACCAAACAATGGCATTTCTTGACAATTGACCCTCCAAGTAATCTTCCATTGTATCTTACGAAAAAGTAATCTGTGGACTACACTGAAAGAAGTCGAAAAAATAAGGAAGAAATGTTAAAGAAAGGTGTATGTCTGGATCCAGCTTAATTCTCCATCTGTGAGCTTCTACAGGAAAGAAATAGTGCCACCATTGTTTATTTGTATTACATTTGCTGAGAGACAAACTTTATTTTTTTTGTCTCCACTATTTGAGTCAATATGTTGATCCAATGTATTTTACTTTGTAGAAGAGTTCTATCTCACAAAAAAAAAAAATTACACTGCATGTATAGTGACTGAAGTTGTCTCACATCGTCTCTTTTTTTTTCTTCTCTTTCTAGGTGATGTCATTGTCTATATTAATGAAGTTTGTGTCCTTGGACATACTCACGCAGATGTAGTCAAACTCTTCCAGTCTGTTCCTATTGGTCAGAGTGTCAACTTGGTGCTATGTCGTGGATACCCTTTGCCCTTTGATCCTGAAGATCCTGCCAACAGCATGGTGCCACCCCTTGCAGTAATGGAGAGGCCTCCGGTAGTGGTAAATGGAAGACATAACTATGAAACTTATTTGGAATACATTTCTAGGACTTCTCAGTCTGTTCCAGATGTAACAGATCGACCACCACACTCCTTGCACTCCATTCCAGCAGATAGTCAGCTTGATAGCACATTCCCACCACCTGCCCATGACGATAATGTATCAATGGCTTCTTCTGGGGCCACCCAAGCTGAACTCATGACCTTAACCATTGTGAAAGGGGCCCAGGGCTTTGGCTTCACTATAGCAGACAGTCCTACAGGACAGAGGGTGAAGCAAATTCTAGACGTTCAGGGATGTCCTGGTTTGTGTGAAGGTGACCTCATTGTTGAGATCAACCAGCAGAATGTACAGAACCTGAGCCATGCAGAAGTAGTGGATATACTTAAAGAATGTCCTGTTGGAAGTGAAACTTCTTTGATTATCCATAGAGGAGGTAAGTTTGGAAAGTCTGTACAATTACGAAAATGTGTGTAAAAGGTTCTAAACCATAAGACATACATATATATTCACTACATCCTTGTGTGCTAGATTGGAAATTAATTTCCGTGTCGTGGAAGGTAACACCATTGATTCTGGAAAAATGTGTCTGCAATTAAGGATCCTAGGCAAAATCTTAAGTTTGTTGTACATTCCTTTTTATGTTCTGAGTGTTAATGGTCCCACCACTGTATAAGGGTAAAACTAGAGCAGTTCAGGACCTTTCACTCCATAATAGTTTGTATGGTGTCTGCAGCAAACTGTTATGGTCCCAACACAGTGCTGCAAGCTTTAAATATAATTGTATATGTTGACTCATCAAGGTAGATCAAAATCAGAGCAATCTATTAGCCCTTTACAAGTTTACTAGTTTTGACAAGCTATTTTGCCTCCTTTTCCTTCATCACAAAAGTATTGTACAACAGTTGTTTTGTTTCTTTCTTGACAACAAAGATCCATAGTATATTTTTCTCTATTTTAAAAAAATAGCTTCTATTAACTTAGTTCTTCTGACCAGCCTAACACAGTAAGCTTGAATATTCACCACTGGAAGGGGAGAGTCAAGACCTATCTGTAAGGAAGCAATAACAACAGAAGTCTTAATACCTTGACAGTGATAAGTAATTTCATAACTTTTAATATTTTAGCCAAACAAATTGTCTTTGATAGTTTGAGATGAGCATCCATCACAATTCATTATGATCTGAAGGGAATAATGATTGAATTTCTTTAATTAAAGACCTTTGTTCCTTTAGAGACATTCATATGTCACTGAATGTACGTTACTCTGTGCTTCAAAAGGGAAAAAAAAAAGGATTCTATATGAAAATACTAATTACTTTCCTTCTGAAGAATAGAGGTTGGGAAGTGAAGCTTTAGTGTTCGCATGTGCCAGAAGTTTGTCATTAAAAAACCTACAAATCCTTAGAACAAGGAATATAGTAACATGTTATCAAATTGCAGAAATAATAAAGGTGATTTAAATATCTGTAGGTTCACATAGTCGATAAAGTATTTTTCATATCTATATTTAAAAGAATTATTTCTAAGAGGCAGAATCTGACATTTCTTTGGAATGAAACTTAATTAAGAGTCATAAGTAAAGGCCAGTTGGTTTCACTATAGTATATGAACTTGGAGAAAGTTAATTGTTGCAGAGGTGCTATATTAGTTGGTGTTAAATACGGTTTTATTTAACATCCATTAAGAATCTGGAACATTGGAGTAAGCAACATTTTTCTCTGAAGATGCTGACAAATTAGGGAGAATTGCTTAGTTAAAAAACAGTGCAAAGAGGATTGGAAGGGTTAATGTAACTTCAAAAGTTGAAATTTTATTTTGAAAAATGCAAGCTAACTTCCCTTTAGGGGAAAACAATTCAGAACACCAATCTTCAGAGAGAAGTGGAGTGTGAAATCCAGTATGCTGAACAGGCCTGAGTAATAACAGACAGCAAAACAGATATTTCAGCAATCAGTGTGGGACAGTAGCAAAAAAAAAAAAACCGCAACTGAAGCAGCAACATACTCAAGCCCATGAGGATAATTCCTCTCATGAGAATTTCTTCTTAGAACATCAATTCATGATCCAAACAAGTTGACTAACATGATAGTTTAACAAGTCTGGTACATTAACTGAGCTGTGGTTATTTTCTGCACATTGCTGTGACAGATAGGAGATACTGCCCTGAGCTCAACCCTCAACAAAAGCAGGATAAATTTTCACCATCTTGTCTTTGGTCAGGCCAAGCCTGGAGGTACAGATAGTTACCCTAGCTCAGCTGACACAAAGTACTGGGGCCAAATGCAGTAACATGTTCCTGAGTCTTGTCCCTCTGTCGGTGGGGCAGGGGGTGGTTGGTTGCTTTAGAGGATGTGGAAAAGGGAATGAGAGCATGTTTTGTTCATGGTAAAACAATGATTAAGACTAAAGCAACTGTTTGGAAGCACTGCAGAGTGATTAAACTTTTAATGGGATGATACAGAACAAATGAAAGTTTACCATCAGAAATTTCTGTACATTGGAAATAAGGAACAGACCTTAATGCAAGATTGTTAGACTCTGAAATTAAAAAGGCTCATTTGTTTGAGTGATTCAAAAGAAGTGAAAATATACAGTGTATGAGACAAACCTACTCTACTTGAGAGATGGCTAAAACATAGCTTAACAGAAATATGAGAATTGTTTTAACGTGTCTACCTGGGTTTTTTTCATAAATTCGTGGAAAAAGGGAATCCATGTGACCAAATATACATCTATAATACAGGTAATTTTATCTATGTCAGTCATCATGTCTCTTTTTATAGTCCCTGAGCTGAAATAGGCCTTTCTAGGGTGCAGTTCATGTCATTCCAGTGTAGATGTTTCAAATACGTCAGGTGTACCCTAAGAATATATATTCTACTTGACTGACTATAAAGGGAATTGAGGATGACTGGATCAGATATATGTGTCTATCCCACATGTTATGAATGAGAAACAGATTATAAGATTTGGTCATGCGAGATAATCTGAATACAAAACAAAATACTAGTACTTAGAGAAACCTGCTATGATTCTAAAATATTTCATCTGTGATACCAGTGAAGCAAGGCATACTTTCTCCTTACTTATGGATCCAATTTTTATTTTATTATTTTTAATGTGTAATGACACTTGAGTAATACCATCCTTTTCCATCTTTACCCTATGCATCCTGTCTTTAGTGTCTCATTTTTAAGATTAAGACTAAAACACTACTCCTGCCTGTGGAAGAGAAAGGCAGTGTTTTGCATAAGGTTGTGTGTTGCCTTGTGATGTATTCTGTCTCTGGTACGAATATGGCCTGACTGCATAGTTCACTGTGGCAAATCCATTTTTGTAAGTGACTTAATTTCTCTCTCTCATCTAGCATATCTACATTGCAGACAAGAAACAGATCGACATTGGCTGAGAGATATTCTCACTATAGGAGAAAAGCATCTTATACAGGGAAAAAATGCGCTCTCATATGCATAAAGTATGCGTACTGCAGCATTTAGAAAGCCATTGTCCTTCAAGCTTAGGAGGTCAACATCCAGCATATGCAGGGGAAGGAAAGGTCTGCATGTTTCAAAAAGATGGAAGGCATAGTAGTACTCAGATTTAGAGAGGCCACTAAAGAAAACTGTCCAAACTAACACCAGACAGAGACTTGTCATGGGGTATAATCCAGCTGGAGGAAGTCCCACTGAATTTCTAGTGTACTCATTTTTAAATTCTAAAGCAGAAGTAGTAATTTACCTGCTAGTTAAAAAAAAAAAATCATGGAAATAATATTATATATCTAAGAAAATACTAAGCAGCACTTGTTTACAACTATGATACTATGGCTAGAGATCTTACAATCATTTTTCTCTTTATTAGTCAGGTTCTTTGCTAAACACAGACATGCTGCTTAGTTGAGTTTCTTTGCATCTGTTTTTGCTGACCAGCCATATAGTTTCCATTGATTACCATAAACTGACTGAAGTGTACATACTGAAAGGAAAAGATGTTGCCTGAAATAAAAGGAAAAATAAATAGAAAAGAAGGGGGAAAAAAAGAGATTAAAATGTTTGTTACTCCAACAGATTTACCCCTTTCCAGCTTTGCTTCAGCCTTCACACTTCATCCTCAGCTTCTGCAGTAGTCTGCATTGAGTATAGGCTGCTGAAATAGTGTAGAAGAGCTCTCAAAAATCAGTCTTTCCAAAAGTGGATAGAGTAGAAATTCTGCATTAGTCCAGAACTAATGGTGATTCACTAAGTGGCTGAAGCAGTATGTACCAAATTTACGTAGAGCAAAATATTCACTAATTAGGACATCAAAAATTGGTTTTGGCATGTTCTACTAAACAAGCTATCCAAGTACCTGACAAATGCCATCTCTTTTGGAAAGTACCTTTGAAATATATGAACCTATATAGCCCAGCCCCAGAAGTGTTCCTGTCTAAAAAAGAACTGACATATTCAAATGTAGATCCATCAAGACTATGTCTGAAATACTGTTGTTGAGGAAATCTGAAGGGAACCCAGGAATGATTCATGAAGCTATGGCAACTCCTAAACGAGTGCTGGGGTGAACATTAAAACTCAGTGCAAAAAGTGGGAACCTGACAAAGTTCCTCCATCAGACAGTTATTTTATAGTGGTGGAATCCAAACAGGCCCTGAGAAACTGAGACTGTTAGTACCAAGCAGAGCCAGAGAACTGATGCACTATCTGTACTGGTTAATTCTTAGCCCACTCCTGGCACAGGGCTGGAGTAAGCCAGCAGCCAGTTTCACCCTGACACGATATGAGGGAGAGCACGGGCCACATGCAGTGCACAAACAGTCAAGATGAGGAGGGAGAATTTAACTATGTAGATGTAAACTGTGAGAATAAAAGGATGGCCAAGTATATTTCTCAGATTTTGTATAAACCCCAGTAGAAGTTTACAACTCCTTAAAACTGCTAACAGATACCAATACATCACATGAAACCTCAGCAGTTTTCAAAACAGCCAGAAATTTCACAAAAAACGCCTCTGCATATTCTAGTGAATAAGCCTAGCCTCTCAAAATGAGCAGACTTCAATGGAAGGAACACTACATCCTCGGTGCCCTTTCCATGGACTGATCTCAGATTTACCTCTGTGCCACAGGGATGATTTTTTTTTTTTTTTGTCCAGGCAGGAAAGCTCGTACTTCTTTTTCTCCAAGTTGTCCTCTCTCTTGGGAAAGCTGCACAAGATAAAGCTGCAGGCAGCACTGTCACCCTGCTAATATTAGTCTGGCCCAGGCAGTTCTGATCTCTGGTTCCATGACCTCAGCCCATCATTAAGGTCTCTAGAGCTTTGACTCTGCTTCTGCAGTTCTTTATTCAAAATATTAAGAGAGTACCTGGTGTGAACTGGAGACCCTGTATCTCATAGCTTGCTCATCCCTAGTTCAGGACTTTCTAGTCAATAGTACTG